GGAAAAAGTGAAAAGTTAAAATTGTAAAATCGAAAAATTGAAAACAGCGAAATTAAAAAACCAAAAAGAATTTAGGAAATTTTGGTTTGAGGATTTGACTATTTTGGAGTTTTGATGTTTTGCTGATTTGGGAATTTTGTTGTTTTGAGAAATTAAAGATTTCTGTGGATTTTGATGATTTTGATGTTTTGAGGATTTGAGTATTTTGGCATTTTGAGAATTTTGGGGTTTTGAGGATTTGGTGATTTTTGTATTTTGAGGATTTATTGATTTTAGTGTTTTGAGAATTTGGGGATTTTGACGTTTTGAGAAAAATTGTAAGATCGTATGACTAAGAAATCGAAAAATTACGAAATCGGGAAATTAAACAATTTAGAAATTGTAATGTGGAGAAATCGAAAAAAAAAAAAAATGGGAAAATCGAAAAATTGAAGAATCCGGTGACTGAGAATTGAAAATGACCAAATCTTTAATTAACAAATGTAGCAACTCAAACTTGGCGAAAGTGAAATGACAAAAATTGTAAATTCAAAAATTAAAAAATTTAAACATTGAAAAATCAAAATTTGCAATATCGGAAAATTGAGAAAACTAAAAATTGTAACGTGGAAAGCAGGAAAAACTCGAGAATCAAAAAATGGGGAAATCGAAAAATTGAAAACCGCGAAATTTAAAAATCAAAAAGAATTAGGGGATTTTGGTGTTTTGAGAATTTTTGAATTTTGGTGTTTTTAGGATTTTGTTATTTTGAGGATTTTGGTGTTTTGAGGATTTAGTAATGCTCGTGTTTTGCGGATTTGGGGACTTTTGGGGTTTCGGTGTTTTGAGGATTTGAGGATTTTTGTGTGTTGCAAATTTGGGGATTTTTAGGGATTTTGGTGTTTTGAGAATCTGGAGATTTTCAGTGATTTGTGCTTTGAGGATTTAGGGATTTTTAAGGATTTTGGTGTTTTGAGGATTTGAAGACTTTGCTGTTTTGGGGATTTGAAGACTTTGGTGGTTTGAGGATTTGGGGATATTTTGGGATTTTGGAGGATGTGAGAAATTTGATGTTTTGAGAAAAATTGAAAGATCGATGACTAAATCGAAAAATTACTAAATCGAAAAATTGAACAATTTAGAGAACATGGAGAAATCGAAAAATAAAAAAATGGGAAAATCAAAAAATTGAAAAATTAAAAATCGAAAATTAAAAACTTTAAAATCCAGAAATTAAAGAATCCGATGACTGCGAAACTGAAAATTACCAAATCTTAAATTGAAAAATGTAGAAATTGAGACATGTAGAAAGTGAAAACCGCGAAATTAAAAAATCAAAAAAAAATTGAGAATTTTGGTGTTTTGAGGATTTAAGGATTTTGGGATTTTTGGGGTTTTAAGAATTTTTAGGGATTTTGGTGTTTTAAGGATTTAGGGATTTTGGTTTTTTGATGATTTAAGGATTTTGGTTTTTTGATGATTTAAGGATTTTGGTGTTTTGAGGATTTTGGTGCTTTGAGAATCTGGTGATTTTGGTGTTTTGGGGATGTGAGTAAGTTAGTATTTTGAGGATTTGAGCATTTTGGAGTTTTGAGGATTTGGTGATTTTGGTGTCTTGAAGATTTAGGGATTTTAGTGTTTTAAGGATTTATAGATTTGTGTTTCGAGAATTTGGGGATTTTGAAGATTTGAAGATTTTGACGTTTTGAGAAAAATTGATGGATCGGATAATTAAGATTTCGGAAAATTACGAAGTCGGGAAATGAAACAATTTAGAAACTGTAACACGGAGAAATATGGGAAAATCAAAAAACTGAAAAATTAAAACTCGAAAATTAAAAACTTTAAAATCGATACATTGAAGAATCTGATGGCTGAGAAACTTACCAAATTACCAAATCTTAAATTGAAAAATGTAGAAAGTGAAGTCAAAAGTGTAAAATCGAAAAATTGAAAACCGTGAAATTAAAAAATCAAAAAGAATTTGGGAAATTTTAGAGATGTTGATGTTTTGAGGTTTTGAGGATTTGGAGATTTTGGTGTTTTGAGTATTTGGGGATTTTAGTCTTGTGAGGATTTGGAAATTTTGTCCTTTTATGGATTTTTAGGGATTTTGTTGTTTTGATGTTTTAAGGATTTCGGGATTTAGGTGTTTCGAGGATGAGAGGATTTTGGTATTTTGAGGATTTGGTGATTTTGAGGATTTTGCGATTTTGATGTTTTGAGGATTTGTTGATTTTGGTATTTTGAGAATTTATTGATTTTAGTGTTATGAGAATTTGGGGATTTTGGGGTTTTGAAGATTTTAGTATTTTGGTGTTTTGAGGATTTTGACGTTTTGAGAAAAATTGTAGGATCGGATGACTAAAAAATCGAAAAATTAGAAAATCGGGAAATTAAACAATTTAGAAATTGTAACGTGGAGAAATCGAAAAATAAAAAAATGGGAATACAAAAAAATTGAAAAATAAAAAATACAAAATTAAAAACTTTAAAATCCAGAAATTGAAGAATCCGATGACTGAGAACTGAAAATTACAAAATCTTAAATTGAAAAATGTAGAAAATGAGACGTGGAGAAAATGAAAAGTCAAAAATTGTAAGATCGAAAAATTGAAAACCGCGAAATTGAAAAATCAAAAAAAAATTGGGAAATTTTAGAGATTCTGCTGTTTTGAGGATTTGGGGGTTTTGGTGTTTTGATGTTTTATGGATTTCAGCATTTTCGTATTTTGAGGATTTGGTGATTTTGGTATTTTGAGGATTTATTGATTCCAGTGTTTTGAGAATTTGGGGATTTTGGGGTTTTGAAGATTTTGACGTTTTAAGAAAAATTGTAGGATCGGATGACTAAGAAATCGAAAAATTAAACAATTTAGAAATTGTAACGTGGAGAAATCGAAAAATAAAAAAAATGGGAAAATCAAAAAATTGAAAAATATAAAATTAAAAACTTTAAAATCCAGAAATTGAGACATGGAGAAAGTGAAAAGTCAAAAATTGTAAAATCGAAAAATTGAAAACGGCGAAATTGAAAAATCAAAAAGAATTTGGGAAAATTTAGAGATTCTGCTGTTTTGAGGATTTGGGGGTTTTGGTGTTTTGAGGATTTGGGGATTTTTAAGGATTTTGGTGTTTTGAAGGCTTTGGTGGTTTGAGGATTTGGGGATTTTTAGGGATTTTGGAGGATGTGACAAATTTGAAAGATCGGATGACTGAGAAATCGAAAAATTACGAAATCGGAAAATTGAACAATTTAGACATTGTAACATGGAGAAATCAAAAAATTGAAAAATTAAAAATCGAAAATTAAAAACTTTAAAATCCAGAAATTGAAGAATCCGATGACAGAACTGAAAATTACAAAATCTTAAACAGAAAAATGTAGAAAGTAAAAAGTCAAAAATTGTAAAATCGAAAAATTGAAAACCGCGAAACTAAAAAATGAAAAAGAATTTGGGACATTTTTGTTTGAGGTTTTGGGGATTTTGGTGTTTTGAGGATTTCAGGATTTTGGTATTGTAAGGATTTGGGGATTTTTGGGGTTTTAAGAATTTTTAGTGATTTTGGGGTTTTATGGATTTAGGGATTTTGGTGCTTTGAGGATTTTGGTGTTTTGAGGATTTGAGCATTTTGGTGTTTTGAGGAATTAGGGATTTCTAGGAATTTTGATGATTTAGTAACTTTGGCGTTTTGAGGATTTGGCGATTTTGATGTTTTGAGGATTTGAGTATTTTGGTATTTTGAGGATTTGGTGATTTTAGTGTTTTAAGAATTTAGAGATTTTAGTGTTTCGAGAATTTGGGGATTTTGAAGATTTGAGTATTTTGGTCTTTTGAGCATTTTGACGTCTTGAGAAAAATTAAAGGATCGGTTAACTGAGAAATCGAAAAATAAAAACTTTAAAATCCAAAAATTGAAGAATCCGATGACTGCGAAAATGAAAATTACCAAATCTTAAATTGAAAAACGTAGAAATTGAGACATGGAGAAAGTGAAGTCAAAAATTGTAAGATTGAAGATTTGACTATTTTGGAATTTTTGTGTTGAGAATTTAATCATTTTGTTGTTTTGACGATTTTGGTATTTTGAGGAACTAGGGATTTTGGTGTTTTAAAAAATTAGGGATTTTGGTGTTTTAAGGAATTAGAGATTTAAGTGTTTTGAAGATTTAGGGGTTTCGGCGTTTTGAGGATTTGGGTATTTTGATGTTTTGAGGATTTGGTGATTTTGGTGTTTTGAGGTTTTGAATATTTGGGGATTTTGGTGTTGAGAATTTGATAATTTTGTTGTTTTGACGATTTTGGTGTTTTGAGGAACTAGGGATTTTGGTGTTTTAAGGAATTAGCGATTTAAGTGTTTTGAGGATTTAGGGGTTTCGGCGTTTTGAGGATTTGGGTATTTTTAAGGATTTTGGTGTTTTGAGGATTTGAAGACTTTGGTGGTTTGAGGATTTGGGGATTTTTAGGGATTTTGGAGGATGTGAGAAATTTGAAAGATCGGATGACTGAGAAATCGAAAAATTACGAAATAGGATAATAAAAAAAATGGGAAAATCAAAAAATTGAAAAATTAAAAATAGAAAATTAAAAACTTTCAAATCCAGAAATTGAAGAATCCGATGACTGCAAAACTGAAAATTACCAAATCTTAAATTGAAAAATGTAGAAATTGAAACATGGAGAAAGTGAAAAACCAAAAATTGTAAAATCGAAAATTGAAAAATAGAAACATCGAAAAATCAAAATTTGGGATGTCGGAAAATTCAAAAAACTAAAAACTGTAACATGGAAACAACGAAAAACTCAAGAATTAAAATCTGGAAAATTCAAAAATTGAAAAGCCCAATATTTTTGGTCCAAACGTCGAAAAATTAAAAAACGAAAAAATGAAAAATCGGATGACTAAAAAACTGAAAAGTTACAAAAATGTAAAAATGAAACATCGCACACTTGAAGAATCGGAAACAATTAATCTGCTGATTTTTACCATTAAAAAAAAGTGGGGCTTGTGGATCTTACCTTGTCGAACTCGTCGATCAAGCACACCCCTTGGTCCGCCAAAACCAGAGCCCCCGCCTCCAGCGTCCACTCTCTATTAGCTGGGTTCCGCCTCACGTACGCCGTCAACCCCACAGCGCTGGCCCCTTGACCCGTAGCGAAAACCGCCCTCGGTGCGATCTTCTCCACGAACTTAAGAAACTGGCTCTTAGCCGTTCCGGGGTCACCACAAATCAGCACGTTGATGTCTCCACGAACCTTGTGCTTCTGACCTGGATTTTTAGCTTCGCCCCCAAACAGAGCGAGCGCTAGCGCTCGCTTAATGTAATCATGACCGAAAATCGAAGGCGCTATCGACGCGATGATCCTCTCCGAAATCCTGTGGTCTTTACTCATCTTGATGATGGCGTTGATGTCGTCATCCGTCAACGACTGCACAATCTGCTTACTATCCTTCACCACCATGTGGTTGGCGAAGATCACCGTCGAGAACACCGGGAACCCGTTGTCGATATTAAGCGAGCCGTCGTAGTTGTTGGAGTAGATTCCAGTGACGTCGACTTCGTCTCCAGGTTTGCACAAGTCACACAAGTCGGCGAGGAGGATGCAGTCTTTGGAACGGGGGACGCGGCCTGCCGGGATGTGACCCGGTGACTCTTGAAGGGTGATTTTTTGGTAGTTCCGGTAGATGGTTTGTTCCATGTTGATCATGAAAGGCCCGGTGCTCTGACACTCGGGACAAGCCCCTGGTTTCACTTCGCTGTGCTGCGACTGGACGAAAGGCCCCAGGACAAAGCCGCACTTGTTGCAGTCGAATTTCACGACGGAGAGCTGGGGGAGGACGCCGGTGGTGGCGGTCACGACGCCCACCGTGCGCACCAGCTGGTTGACGTGAAGCTTTCTAAAACGCAATGATTAGAAACGAATCCCACCGACTGCGCCACTTTCGAAACTCACCTGAAAGTTCTCAGTTCTTCAATCAAAGGCAAGTCGGAAATTCGTACGTGAATCTCGTTGGTGACGCGTTCGTAACTCGGGTATTTCGACAGCACGATTTCCTTGGCCACCTCGTCAAAAATCTCCAACATCTGGAACGGCGCCTCCGGGAGAAAATACGCCAAAACGTGCTCCTTGTTCGCCAAATAGGGAAACTCAACAGTGAAACTTGACTACAATGAAACCATTCAAACTACAACTCTATATTTTTTTTAATCTCGTTACTTTGTTGCTCTCGCACATCTTCCTAATTTTCTCCTGGTAGACGTACTGCCCCCGACTATTAATGTACGTTCTCAAGAAATTCTTAAACCTGTTGGCAATCTCAGTCCGGGGTCCAATCATGCAAACCCACTCCTTGACCGTGTGTCCTTTGGTGTCTTCGAGGTTCTCGATCGATTCGATCATTTCGGCTTCGTCGGTTTCGCCGGCGGCTGCCTTCTCCGCCATTCTCCTCTTCCGGCGAGGATCCTCTTCGTCGTCGCTTTCTTCGTAGAACAACTCGCGGTCGTCACGTCGAATAATTCCACGTTCTCGATCTCTGCGTCTGAGTTCTTCTTCGGCGGCCATCCGCTCGCCGACGGACATCGCTTCGTAGTCATCGTCGTCGATGTTGCCGGTTTCGTAGCGGTCGAGGTGGGGCATGGGGCGGTAGTCACTAGAGACAAAAATTAGTTTTTGATTTCGTAACAACTAGAGTACGAAAAAATAGGTCCCCTATTTCCGTCTATCCGTCTGTCTGTCGTCTGTCGATTTTTATTAGACAGATAATAGGACTGACTGTTGCCAAATTTTGTATGTCTATAAGTGATATCTCTAATTTACATACAAAATTTGACAACGAATTAAAGTGGTGAATATTATTCAAACTTATAAAATAACGTATTCCACTTGTTACGAATCGGTGTTAAGTTTTTACCTTTGGCATCCAGATTTTTGGAAAAACAAAGTTGTGACAATTCTTCGATATTTCAGTTTTTGGATTTTTAGTTTTTTTTGATACAATTTTTGAATTTTTTTTGTTCTTCGATTCTTCGAATTTTCAATTTTTGGCGCTCCTAGTTAGGTTTTCGATTTCTCGATCATTAGATTTTTCGACTTTTCATTCATCGATTTTTTTAATTTCCCCACTTCTCGATTTTTCAGTTTTTCAATTCTTCAGTTTTTTGATGTTTCAATTTTTCGATTTTCTGATGTTTGGATTTCTCGATTTTTCAATTCTGATTTTAAAAATTTTTGATTTTTCGAATTTTCAATTTTTCGGTTTCTCATTTTTAAATTTTTGTTTTGAGATTACATTGTTCAATTTACTGATTTTTCAATTTGTTTTATTTTTTCGATTTTGAGCTATATTAATTTCGCGATTTTTCAATTTTTAGACTTCCCACCAATTCATAGATTTTTTTGATTTGCCCATTTCTCGATTTCTCGATTTTTCAATTCCCCAATTTCCCGATATTTAAGTTTTGCTACTTTTCGATTTTTTGATTTCAATTCATCGACTTTTAAAATTTCCGATTTCTCGACTCTTCGGTGTTCAATTAATTTCTCCATTTCTCGATTTTTCAATTCCTTAATTTTTCGATGTTCCAATTTTTCCATATTTCGATTTCTCAGATTTGGTTTTTCAACTTTCAGGTTTTTAAATTTTCGATTTTTCGACTTCTGAATTTCCCTATTTTTCAATGTTTCAGTTTCAGGATTGTGCAAATTTTCGATTTCTCGATTTATCAACTTCGATATTTCAGTTTCGGGGTTTTTCAACACTTCGATTTTTAAAAGCTTGGATTTTTTTTATTAATATTTTTCGTTTTTATAAATTTTAGATTTTTTAGTCCTTCGATTTTTCTATTTGTCAATTTTTCCGATTTTTAAATACCAGATTTTTCAATGTTTTAATTTTTCAAATCTTTGATTTTTCAATTTTTCGGTTTCTAATTTTTTAATTTTTCAGTGTTTCGACGATTCCATTCAATTTGATGATTTTTCAGTTTTTCTATTTTCCGATTTTTTTAATTTCTCGATTTCTCGACTTTGGATGTTTGATTTCTCGATTTTTTAGTTTCTCAATTTTCCAATATTTGAGTTTTTCCTTTTTAGAATTTTTTGATTTTTAAAAATTTCAATTTTCCAAATTTTGGCGTTTTTGGATTTTCAATTTCTCGATTTTTCCGTTCTTCAATTTTTCGATGTTCCAATTTTCCATTTTTCGATTTCTCAGATTTGATTTTTCAACTTTCGAGTTTTTAAATTTTCGCTTTTTCGACTTCTGAATTTCCCTATTTTTCAATGTTTCAGTTTCGGGATTTTGCAAATTTTCGATTTCTCGATTTATCAATTTCGATATTTCAGTTTCGGGGTTTTTCAACATTTCGATTTTTCAAAGTTTGGATTTTTTTATTCAAAATTTTTCGTTTTTATAAATTTTAGATTTTTTAGTCCTTCGATTTTTCTATTTGTCAATTTTTCCGATTTTTAAATACCAGATTCTTCAATTTTTTAATTTTTAAAATCTTTGATTTTTCGATTTTTCAATTTTTCGGTTTCTAATTTTTAAATTTTTCAGTGTTTCCATCAATTTGACGATTTTTCGATTTTTCTATTTTCCGATTATTTTAATTTCTCGACTTCTCGATTTTTTAGTTTCTCAATTTTCCAATATTTGAGTTTTTCCTTTTTAGAATTTTTTGATTCCTCAATTTTTTGATTTTTAAAAATTTCAATTTTCTAAATTTTAGCGTTTTTGGATTTTCAATTTTTCGATTTTTCCATTCTTCAATTTTTCGATGTTCCAATTTTTCCATTTTTCGATTCCTCAGATTTGATTTTTCAACTGTCCGAGTTTTTAAATTTTCGATTTTTCGACTTCTGAATTTCCCTATTTTTTACTGATTTTTCGATTTCTTTTAATTTTTCGATTTTGAGTTATATTAATTTCTCGATTTTTCAATTTTTAGACTTCCCAATTCATAGATTTTTTTTATTTGCCCATTTCTCGATTTCTTGATTCTTCAATTTTTCAAATTTTGGTGTTTCTAGGTTTTCGATTTCTCCATTTTTAGACATTTCAATTCATCGATTTTCCGATTTCTCGACTCTTCGGTGTTCAATTAATTTCTCGATTTCTCGATTTTTCAATTCCTTAATTTTTCGATGTTCAAATTTTTCCATTTTTCGACTTCTGAATTTATCAATTTCGATATTTCAGTTTTGGGGTTTTTCAACACTTCGATTTTTAAAAGTTTGGATTTTTTTATTTAAAATTTTTCGTTTTTATAAATTTTAGATTTTTTAGTCCTTCGATTTTTCTATTTGTCAATTTTTCCGAGTTTTAAATACGATTTTTGAATTATTTAATTTTTAAAATCTTTGATTTTTCGATTTTTCTATTTTCCGATTTTTTTAATTTCTCGATTTCTCGACTTTGGATGTTTGATTTCCAGATTTTTTAGTTTCTCAATTTTCCAATATTTGAGTTTTTCCTTTTTAGAATTTTTTGATTCCTGAATGTTTTGATTTTGGAAAATTTCAATTTTCCAAATTTTGACGTTTTTGGATTTTCAATTTCTCGATTTTTCCTTTCTTCAATTTTTCGATGTTCCAATTTTTCCATTTTTCGATTCCTCAGATTTGATTTTTCAACTTTCGAGTTTTTAAATTTTCGATTTTTGAATTTTCATTTTTCAATGTTTCAGTTTCGGGATTTTTAAATTTTCGATTTCTCGATTTATCAAGTTTACGATATTTCAGTTTCGCGATTTTCAACATTTCGATTTTTAAAATTTTGGATTTTTTGATTTTAAAATTTTCGATTTCTAGATTTTTTAGCCCTTCGATTTTTCCATTTGTCAATTTTTCAGATTATTAAATTTTAGATTTGTCAATTTTTTGATGTGTCGAACTGTTTGATTTTTCGACTTCACTCAGTTTCAAACTTTTCAATTTTTTAATTTAAAAAATTTTTGGTTTTTCAAATTTTCAACTTTTCGGTTTCTAATTTTTTTAATTTTTCAGTGTTTCGTTTCGTCCATTCAATATGATAATTTTTCGATTTTAAGACTTTACAATTCATCGACTATTTGATTTTTCCATCTCTCGATTTGTCGATTTCTATACTTTTCGATTTTAAAATTCTTCTATATTATGTTCCAATTTTCAAATTTTTCGACGTTTTGATTTTCCAATTTTTCAATGTTTCAGTTTTAGGATTTTCCAAGTTTTCGATTTATCGATTAATCAGTTTATCGATATTTCAGTTTTGGAATTTTTCAATATGTCAATTTTTAAAATTTCGGATTTTTCGATTTCTGGATTCTAGAACGGAAACATCGATTTTTCTATTTGTTAATTTTTCCAATTTTTAAATTTTCAGTGTTTCGATTATTCCATCCAATTTCCTGATTTATCGATTATTTGATTTTTAAACTTTACAATTTATCGAATTTTTGATTTTCCCATTTCTCGATTTCTGTACTTTTCGATTTTTCAATCTTCAAATTTTGATGTTGCAAGTTTTCAATTTTTCGATATTTCAGTTTTGGAACTGTTCAATATTTTGATTTTTTAAATTTTAGATTTTTCGATTTCCAGATTTTTCCGTTCCTCAATTTTTCTGATTTTTAAATTTTAGATTTTTCAATTTGTTGATGTGTCGATCTTTTTGATTTTTCGACTTTTCGGTTTCAAATTTAAAATTTTTCAGTGTTTCGATTATTCATTCAATTTCCTCATTTTTCGATGTTCCTCTTTTCCGCTTTTTGGATGTTCGAACTTTTCAGTTCCTCAGTTTTATTTTCCGATATTTGAGTTTTGCTTTTTTTTAAATTTTCGACTTTCCAAATTTTGGAGTTTCTAGGTTATCGATTTCTCGATTTTTAGACATCATATATCAATTTTTTGATTTTCCCATTTCTCGATTTCTCTACTACTACTCGATTTTTCAATTCTGCAATTTTTCGATGATCTAATTTTCAATTTCTCACGTTTAATTTTTCAACTTTTCAAAATTTTCGATTTTTCGACTTCTCCATTTCCCAATTTTTCAGTTTTGGGATTTTTCAAATTTTCGATTTATCGATTTATCAATTTTTCGATAGGTACTTCAGTTTTGGGATTTTTCGATTATTTGAATTTTAGATTTATTTATTTATTTAAAATTTTAGATTTTTAGACTTTTCAATTCATCGATTTTTTGATTTTCCCATTTCTCGATTTCTCGACTTTTTGATGTTCAATTCCAGACTTCTTGACGTTCCAATTTTTCAATTTCTCAGGTTTGATTTTAAATTTTTCGGTTGTTCGATTTCTCAATTTTTTAATGTATCAGTTTTGGGATTTTTCAATACTTCGATTTTAAATTTAGCGATGTTTTAATTTTTTAATTTCAGATTTTTCGATTTCTAGATTTTTCAGTTCTATTTTTCTATTTGTCGCGTCCCGTAGAATTTGTGCCCCCTTGGTGCGGGGGCTGAGTGAGTGTTATTTACTTGATACAGGTTACCAGAAAACAAAAATTGCAAAAAAATTGTATACTTTTTCAAACAAGCGAAACTTCTTCGGAGCGAAGGGAGTTTCGTCGAAATACCCTTCAACTAATTTTTAATTTGTAACAATTGAATAAGCTTACTTTTCCATGTTATCACCGAACAACTCCTCCCCTTCTCCTTCCTCCTCAATGGGGGCGTCATCGTCGTCTCCGAAAAGAGCCCCTTCATCTTCGAACGGTTCCAAGTCTTGCGGGGGCGACGAAATGTTAGACTGGGGGGTGGGTTGGGGGCCATCGTCCGACTAAAAATCCAATTTTGGAAATTTATCCACCCTCACAAAAGTTACACTTACTCTCTGCGACATTGTTGTGTGGGGTTGTACTCTGACCTTGAAAGTAGTTCAGTCGTTTCAAAACGGCAACAAACGTGTTGTTTTCGGATTTGTGGGGGCTCAAACAACGAACAAACTTGCAAATAAATTGGCGCCAAATCGCCAGATTTAACCTCACATTTCTGGTTAGTTTTAGTTAGGTAATGATTACCAACTGACACCAGTTTTTGCACATAAGGGGTTATAAAATAAACGTGGCGTGTTATTATAATACAAAAAAAATCAATAAGGTCAAATTTTCACGTAAATTTTCGCTTTTGTTATGTTTTCGTTTTTTATTTAAAGTTTCGGTGTAAACCGTCAGCACCAAAATCCCCTAGACCTTTCAACATTCAACAACAACTTACAACCTAACCCAACTTCTGTGTTATTGTTTATTTCGTTAAAAATGGAGCCCACTGACGACTCCTTGTACGTGTACCTAGAATTCAACGACAAAATCCCCTCAAGCATCTTCGCCAACAAGATGTTCCTCCGAGTCGCCAATTTGCACAAACCTGAACCCGTCGTCCAAATCAACGATTTACTTTTCAAAGGTTAGTACCAAAATCACCTAAACCCGTTTAAAACCAATCTGCATAGGCTCCTACGACGAGTGCGTCGGCACCAACATCTTCTTCGAAGAAGTAGACAACCCCAAAGTCACTAACAACATCTTTGACAAAACCCGGCGAATCCACCTTAAACCCACCACAGCCCAAACCAAAGTCATCAAACTCAAACAGGTGAAGCTCCCCAGAGAAAACACGAGCGATACGAGCCTCAAAGAATCCGTCGTTTTAAACTTGGACCAAGATTACAATATAATCCTCGAACGACTGCAGCAGGGGGTGCTAAACTTGGAGGATCTCGCTCACAAAGACACGGAATACACCCCCGATGAACGAGAGCAGGCCCCGTTTGACGAAACCCCGCAAACACTGTCAGAGTCCGAGAGAGAAATCGAAACTTTGTTAGAAAACGTTGAACCTAAACCACAGACGTCGCCCCTTGATATCAAATATGAGAAACTAAAGCGGCTGGCCCGCAGGCCTGTACGTAGAATGAAGTCGCCGGAGAGGGTGCAGGAGTGTGAGCCCCAATTTCGCAACGCGTTTGAGTATCATAATCTAGAACGTCAGGTTTGTCAAAGCAGCGACTATTTTCGGTCGGTGTCGTGTCCAATTGTCGAGAAATCGTTCGTTGGTGGAGTGGATATTGACAGGTGCATTCTCCAGGGGTTGCTTCCGGCGGCTGCCGATGTTAACTACGTGTTAACTAAAGATGAACAAAAGAAAATTTTGAATGTGGATAATTTCGAGAATTTGTCTATTCCAGCACGGTATTTGGTTTTGAAGGAGTGTGTTTCACAGATTGAAGACTTGATTGAGAGTACGTCGGGCGAAGAATTGAAGGAGTGTGACGAAAACGGGAGGACCATTGTGGATATTTGTGCGACGTTTAGGAGACTGGTGAGGGCGCTGGAGGTCACTATGGGTGGAGAGGAGGGCGATGGGGACGGTGGAGGCGGCGCGAAAACCCGCATTGATGACGTAGAATACGTCAAATATAAATATCAAGGGGACGATTTTGTGGACGATATGTTCGGCAGCGACGAGTGGACGACGGACGAAGAAACCAATAAAGACAAAAGTGGTAGCGTTGTGGAGTCTGATGAAGGCGAAGACAGAAACGAGGACGAAAAAATGGAAATTCAAAGTGGCGAGGAGTCAGGAGACAGTTTAAATGATGATTCAGATAGATCAACAGATTCGTCATAATGTATTATTTAATAATTAATATACTTAATAATTCTAGTATTCTTCTGATACGTCTGGAAATGGTCGCATGTTGGGTGTCGTCAACTTGGCTTTTCTTAAGTATGGTACGGTTAAAAGCTGCTTAGCCGATTTTCGAACAAAAGGGTCATAAACTAACATCATCTACAACACCAATATTAATATATTTCAATTTTTAAATCATAGTCAAACCTTCATAAATTCTTCCTCTTCAGCGTCGTTAAAACTAACATGCAATTTTAAATCGCTCGGTTTCCACTGAGGAAACGAAACCTCGTACTGCGGTAACGTCCCCACCCCAGGCCACATCTCTTCATTCGGGGTCCCCAAAATTTTAAAAATTTTGAAGATTTGGTCGATCTCTGAGTCCCCAGGGAAAAGCGCGCGCTTGATCAACTAAAATTATTCGATTATGGCAAAATGATCCTTACGTAAAACGCACTAAGTACCATTTCGGCCATAACGCAACCCAAGCTCCATATATCCACTCCGTTCGTGTACAATTTTGACCCTAAAAGCAGCTCAGGCGCTCGGTACCACATGGTCACAACTTCATGGGTGTACGACTTCGTGGGGACCGAAAAACACCGAGATAGACCGAAGTCGGCGATTTTGATGTGACCCTCTTTGTCCACGAGGAGGTTCTGCGGTTTTATGTCGCGGTGGAGGATTCGGTGGGTGTGCAAGTAGGCCAGGCCTTCGCACAACTGTTTTAAGTAACTCTGGAAAAAAATTTTTGATCATCGTCTTCAAAAAATTGATGACGTCACTTGATAATAGATGGAAAAAACAATGCGATAACATCATTAGTATTAGATTGTACATATCAAAATGACCACATTACCTCCAGTACCAATATTAGACATGTAAGAGGGGTTTTTTAATAAAATAGTTGCACTTACATGAATTTTTTACTACTTAAATTGAGACAGGGCAAATTCTCAGTGAAACAGCCTGTATATAAAATGTAGTCACGGGTTTTTTTGTCAGATTCGTCAATAAAAATGGCAAATGCTTTTTTCAGACTAATAAGAGCGCACAATTACCTTCAGTGCAAAACCTACCCTAATTAACTCTTTATGCATTGGTTTCATGGTCCCATCTAGATACCTCTTCAAATCCAAATCTAAATACTCAAAAACCAAATATAGCTTGTCGGAGGTGTACATCACATCTTGTAGCTCGATGATCGCCGAGTGGCGCAGCCCCTTCAGAATGGAAATTTCGCGTATCGCGGTCGAAGGAACCCCTTCGGTCTGGTCATCCTTGCTAAATCTACAACCAACAAAGCCCGTTATCTCGCGCTCCTTCTTAAGCCCCGCTCCCCCATTTTAGTATACTTACGGATTAGTACATGTGATGATTGCTAGCTGAAGTATAAGCTGAATCATGTGGTGCTACGACCACCTCAACGTAAGCACCTCAAGATTCAGCTCAAAATTCTGCTAAATTAGTAGAGTTAGAAGCGCCCATCCCTAATGAAACAGCTCGAAGCACGAAACAGCGAAAAGTGGCAAAATATCAACGAAAATTCTCTACTACTTACTTTTCGAGTTTAATCCTTTTAAGGGCCACACTTTTCCCAGTCACTTTGTTCTTGGCTTTGTAGACGATGCCGTAGGTGCCTTCACCAGCCGTCCCCAGCTTGATGAATTTGTCCAGAGTGTTCATTTTTCGTTTTTTTTCGTCGTCTTGAACACACGGAGCCTCGGAAGGTATTTAGCGGGAAATTCACGTTGGGCATTTTGGAAGCCATTAGTGTTTATCATGGAGTGCGCATGCGCGAATTTGCGAAATTCGATAATTAGGTTGGTAATGTAATCAATAATAACCTTGGAGGGAAATTGGAGAAAAATCGCTTTTCTTGGCGTTTTCGTGCGGAATTTTCACCAGCGACCATCTTGTTTTTGCGTTTTTGACAAAAAGGGTGAATTTCGCTGCCAACTTGCACGGAGCGAGATCCGATTTGTTGTTGCTAGGTTGGTACGCGTCGCTACAAAAATTACAATTAAATTAAATTTTACAAAAGAAGACTAGTTTTCAAACAAAAACGAGCGACAAATTGTTAAATAAACCCAAACTTGGTGCACAAACGGTCGCCTCAAGTACCGATATTTAAATAAATCATAAAAACAAACAAACAAAAGAACTGTCAGCTTTCTAGATTCAATAATTACGACCAAATTAGTCGGAAAAAATGTTGCAGTGTTGAAAAAATGGCCTCCTTGTCCCGATCAGGAAACCCCAACATTTCACATTCCTTTACACGAATTTAATTCAAATCGCCCCGCACCCCACTCAAGCCAACATTTCCCATCCGCCAAGCAACAAATTAGCCCGATTTGGAGCAATCCCGTTTTTATTCTCCATGGTTTTTGTCGCACGTCGCCCCACCGATTGACAGCCGCACCCTCTCCCACCAATCGCGGAACCGGGTCTGGACCAATCAGATTCATCTAGCGCATGCGCACTTCGAAGGACGCTGCAACTCCCAGTGGAAGCTCTACAAGAAGTTCACACGAAATCTACGCGTCATTTTTTTCGTTAAAAGTTCTTTCCATTTTTTGTTAAATGTGGAAACCAGTGCAAAAACCTCCGGAGTAAACAAGGACGCGTTTTCATAAAGGTACGTTACGTATGTTTTTCTAAAACCGAGCTTTTGTCGTACAAGAACTCGCCGCCATGATGGCGTCCTTTGCCGACCACGAAAACCGAAAAATGCGATTTACGGTCACACTTTTTGTTCAGTTTTGAGTTTTTACCATGAGTGTTTGGTGTTTGCAGCCTTCGACCATGGCGTCGGAGCAGTTTTCGCTATGTTGGGACAACTTCCACAAGAACATGAGTTCGGGGATGAACTCGCTGTTGGAGAACGAAGATCTGGTAGACGTGACTTTGGCGGTCGAGGGAAAGTACCTCAAAGCTCACAAAATGGTGCTCTCGGTGTGTAGTCCGTATTTTCGGGAACTTTTTAAAATGAACCCGTGCAAACACCCGATCGTGTTTATGAAAGACGTTTCGTATATTGCCATGAGTGATCTGCTGCAGTTCATGTACCAAGGCGAGGTGCAAGTCAGCCAAGACAACCTCACAACCTTCATCAAGACTGCCGAGGCGCTGCAGATCAAGGGACTCACGGGAGACGGAAACGTAAGGATTTTCTCGATTTTGTATGTAGCGTTTATTAATTGTCGGTGTTCGTTCCAGGGCTCAGCTGAATGTGATAACGACCAAGACGAGCCGCGGCCCGCCGAAATCGAGCCCCCGAAAATGACCGCCCCGCCCCCGCGACCCAAGAAGGTCCACCAAACACCCACCCCTCCCGCGAAACGTCCAAGGTTAAGTGTTCCAGAACAAGCGAGTGCACAACAAACAATAGCAAAGACTGAACCCGCTGCTGTATCTAGTGCACCTAGTAACGAAAATCTAATACAATTTAAAATGGAACCGTATGACCAGGGTCAATCTACAGTTACAATACCTGATGATAACACTGACGAAACGTTTACGGACGATCCCTTGGACGAAACGAACGCGGATGACGGAAATGAGGACTATTCGATGATGGAGGGCGGGGACGAGGAGCCCCAGGCTGGGACCAGCGCTGACGGAACGGCCGGAGAAGGGCAAGGTATGTAGATGTTTCGATTTTGACGTTTTGGAGACTTGCTGGGGCATAACTGGGAGAGACGCACTGCTTAGAGGGTGAGGGGTGACTCAGAAACATTTTAACTATATTAAATTCTTGAGGCACATATTTAAAAACGGCGAATTAAGTTCGGTGGACGGTATCGGAATGCGCACTTTTTGCTTAGCAGTGAGTTTCTCAACACTTTGATAGTCACGTGGTTTTCAAACTTAAGCCAGTTATGCGCAGTAAGTGAGTGTTTACAAAATTTGATGCTCGTTTTCTCGTTGTTTGTAATTATACAAGAGTGAATTTTGTGGACACTCCACGATTATACATTTTGTGTACATTGTTTGCGATTCTACGGCATAGTAGGCAATATTGTTTCCAATTTGTTCTTGTTGTATTTTGTATCATGTTTGTCGTTTGAACGTTTATGTTTATAAACGTTTCTTTGTGTTGTTGTGACAGTGTGTGAAGTGTGCTTGCGGTTAAATTTTTAACTGCAATTTCGGCGCCGATTTTGTTAACTGGAAGATTTCTTCCAGTGAACGAACAGTGGATCAACTTGTTGGTAGGTGTTTGCGAACATTTTATGAATTTCTAAAAATAGAAATTCGCTTTTTTGGGTTTATATTTTGCGGTACACCCTACCATGGCGTAAAATCGCGCGTTTTCTTTTGAAATGACTGACGTGTTTTGTTATTATTAGATGGTAAAAGTGTTCCTGTGGAGTATACTCCGAGGTTTTTGAAGAGTGGCATTATTATTAATGGGTTTACGTATCATCAGAATACGGTAAAGAAAGATTCAAAGATGCGGTAAGTATTTACGCGGTAGATTTTGTGACGTAAAAATATCGAAGTGATTGTGAATCTAGGTGTTTATTTTTGGTTTAGTGCTGATTGATTGCTTATTTAAGAGGTGATGCTGATGCGTAGGTGGTAGGTAGTTCCCTTTCCCCACTCCCAAAGATCACAAAAATATTTAAAAGAAGCTAAAAATTAATCGAGGTAATGAGATATTTGGAAGCGAAACGAAAGCATAATTGGCGGCTAAAAGGTAAGTGAATTTGTTCTTAAACGAGAAATAATTGGCCCTCATACATGCGCTGTGTCAAAATATTGAATTGAAAATTTTATCGAGTGCATGTATGAGAGCCGAAATTCACACGTAAACAGATTTTTAGTAAAAAAAAAAAAGTCGAACCACGTGGAATGGAGTTCAAGTTTTAAGAGAAGTTTCCAGCTGATGAGTTGCTACATCGTACTCTATCAAATCTGGACCCGTTAGAAAGTCGTAAAAAAATAAATATATAGTATATTCGGGTCTAATCAATTCTATTTTCACTCCTCGAGCGTCAGTTTTTGGTTGTTGTAAAGATGGCAGTCATCCCCACTAAAAACTAGATGACGTCACTTCAAAATTTTTTTGAGTAAATTTCGTTAGAATTCACGCTTTTTTTTCGCACAGATCATTTCAAAAATTTAATTGATTCAATCAAAATGGGCTGATTTCGTAGTAAAACTAATGTTCTTTCAATGTTGCAATGTGTCTGTCAATTTCGATATATTTGCCCCCACTAAAAAGTTACTGACGTCACTGCTAAATTTGCTAAGATATTCTTATTAAAACCAAGCATAGGACGCTGTTTTTTTGAATTCATATTTGATGTGATGGTCGTAGAAGCAATGACTTCCTGGGTGTTACAAAGACCTTTGAAATAGGTAAAGTTAAAAATAAAATCATGTAATTCCAGCTTGGAAAGTTAGTAATGTTGAAGATTTAACTAGAACGGTTTTAAAACTAGAATTTCATAGGTTATGTCTACGCATGGCAATTATTGGCGCGGGAAATTCAAAAAATTAAATCGCTTGAACAAGTTTTGTTTTGAAACTTCAGAATTAAAATCTTTGAATAAAAAAGTAATCGCAGATGTAATAGTAAAGGATTCCTGCGTAAATTAACTTGGTTGCTCAATAACCGTTTCATAAGCTTGACAAACATGGAAATTGTTCAACGTCCAAGAATGTCAAGGTGAATGCATCTTGAAGCGGTCGATGACGCTGCGGGAGTTGTTTTAGGTACACAATGGCTAAAGAAAACTTGAAAATCACGATTTGTTTGTTTTTCTATCGCTTGTTACCCATTTAACCAATAAATACATTTACACTTCACGTTTATAACCTTAGTCGCAAATTCTTAAATCCGCGGACGTTCTTATTTGTAACAGAGTTGTATCCAGTTGTCACTGACCCGGTGTCTGTTTTTTCAGATGATTTTAAAGTCAAAAACACGCCGAAATCGCCAGGAAAAGACGAAAGCACCGAAAATTCTGGACAAAAGGTTCACAAACCGCTCATGATTAAAGGAAAAAAAGAGCTAGGTGCTGCGTTACCGATCCAATACTTCCCAGATTAATCCTTTGTGTTGATAGGTATCATAGACGATATGTCGCCTTCCAGTGGCTTCATAAATTTCATCGACAACTTGTCAATTCCTTCCGATAGCAAACTCAATTTTGGTACACTCTTTTCACACTATCGATTCAACCTGACGTGTTTCTTTTAAGAGAGTTCTCATTCCGTTGTCGACCAGCTTCGAATACTGACCCAACAAAACCGAGAAATGTTGAGTTTGTTGAAGCTGCAGGCTAGCTTGACTACGGATTTGTGTATAGAGCCGCCGGTGGGTTTGCCAGTCAAAACGAGCGACGATTTGACGGCTCTAGAGACGTATTTAATGGAGCCGGGTAATTTCTCGGACATGGTGGGTAGATTGGGCGTGGTTTCCTTATGTTGCGAGTCGGATTGCAGACGTTTTACTTGTCAAGACTGGGAGGATCGACCGTGACTTCGGTCACGAATAAAATCATGAAGCGCTGTTTAAGCGACGAGCTAGCGACGACTTACAATTTCTGCGGCCATCGAAACAAAAAAGCTTTCAATACGTTGTTATTGAGGAACGTGGTGGTCAGTAAGTATCTGGGTAAGGTGTCGCCTTTTCTAGAGCGTTTGTGGTAGGTGCCGTAAAACAAAGCAATTCGAAATACACCGAAAAAGAGGTCGAGGATTGCATTAAAGCCTGGCTCAAGTACGCCCCCTCGAGGATGAAAAAGCAAATCGAAACAGGATAAACTTGTAGATGTACAAATCGTATTTTCGGTATTTTTACGTCACAATAAAACGTACTTTAGAGTAGATTACTAATTTTCACTACATATTTCCTCGTTTCAAAATATTTTGTATTTATAGATACTTGATTTGCTCTGAGTATAAAAGACTTTCTTGTAAAGCGAGGGCGCAGATCCCGATCGGGGGTACGGTGAATGACGTCATTTTGCGCAGGGAGCACAACCACCCTCCGTTCAAAGATTCGGTGGTTAAAAACGACTTTTTGGCTGTTCTTAAAACGCACACGGATTGTCGGCCGACGGCGCCGTTGAAGCAGATTTACGAAGGCGCCGCCATACTGTAAGTTGTGAGTCGAACTAGCGATCGTTTGTGACCACTTCTTGTAGAAACCCGGAAGGCGCGGAGCTCTGTCCATACAGAAAAGTCGTGTCGTCGATGCGCAGGTGGAGGCAAATCGCTATGAGTATTTAACATGTGAATAGAAAAAAAGTTGTGTGTTTACTACTCAATAAAGTTTTTTAGTACGTCGGAGTTTGACTCGTACCAGTTCCGTTCATTTTTCTGTTTATGGTTGCATAAACGTTGCCTTCAGTTGCAGCTATCAAAGTCGTGAAAGTCGAAAGCGGGGTTTGCGCAAAGAGCGAAGAATGTGCAAGAGAGAGAAAGTTGCATATGCCTATCGTTGTTAAAACGGAAGAGCCTGGTGTGAACAAGTCGTTGTTAAATTTGCCTGTTCAAACGTTGCAAGATCTACAAGATTTCGAAAGATTTTTACAAAAGTCGCACAATTTTTCCAAATTGGTGAGTGGTTGCATGAGTTGAGGTAGCGTGTGCACGATATGTTTATAGGCGGAGTATTTGTCCACTGTGGAAGGTGAAAACTTGTATTACGTGGTAAACAATATCTTAAAGTTGTGCTTAGCTCCCGAATTGTCGTCTTATTTCACGTCCCGTAAAGCAGGCGATGGGAAATTTTCTTTCGATACGTTGCAACTGAACTCGTTGGTCATTTGTAAGTATTGGAAGGTGACGCTACTAACACTTATTGTAACACTTGGGACAGGTGCTGTGAAAATGAACAATCGGAAGTATACTGCGGCGGACACCAGACATTACATTCAGTACTGGCTACAGCAAGCACGCTTCACAACGTAAAACTTGCGATATTTCTTCTCTTGGAAAATTTATAACGATGTTATAAATTTCGTACAATAAATATACATATTTTGGCAACTCTGATGGTCTTGATTTAGTCCGACTTGTTTTTCTTATGACGTGACATCTTCAAATTGTTGCAGTCAATACTTTGTACGACTTTAGTTAGCCTCATGCCGTGAAATCGTTCTTTAACTTTACCAGTTTCTTCGTTTTAATCGTAATGCGATTCTTTTTAGAATTTTACAAAATTGAGTCGACTTACAACGTACCAGCGCCCAAAAAGCGGATTAATCGTATGAGGTTTGTCGTTGATGGATTCGTGTACCATAATAACGTTATTGCCGGTACACCACCTCTACGGTAAATATTAAACACTATATTAATATATCGCCACTTAATACTTTAATTTCACGAATTATTTTTCTGCACAATGCTAGTTATTTGGGTTGTGCCGAACATAAAAGATCCGGTTGTCGCGGCAGAGCTACCATCCCAGTCGGCGGCAACCTAAAAATGTTAAAAATGACCCAACCTCACAACCACCCTCCCGACGTCAACGCCGAGGAAAAAGACGCTTTTATAAGAGAACTGAAAGTCGCCGTTCGCTCCAATTCCATGGAAAAAGCCACCCTAAAGAAGGTCTACGAAACCGTGGCACAAGTGTAATTATTTCCGCCGGTACCACATTTAGTACTACTCATGTGTCCGTAGATACCCGAAAGCAGCCGAAGAAATTTCCTTCAAAAACGTCAGTTCGTCGCTGCATAGATGGCGCAGAAGCTCACAAATATAATACAGTGTAATTGTTCTCAATACACGTTTGAAAGTACTCGTCGTTTGATTCACTTACTTTTCACACTTACTTAGGTCAGTCCGCTTCACTCAAAATGTTACAGGTTTCCCCAGAAGACTCACAGGGAGGAATTGCATAGATGGTTATTTCTATGTGTTGGACAAAATTGTAGGAACCACGGGGTAACTCGGTTTTGGTTTCGTAAACAAAGATTTCAGTGGTACTTTGTAGGTACTTACGATGCTCGAAAGCTAGTACCCTCGGGTGTAAAACCAGAGGCAAATGCACGATTCTGCAAGATAAACAAATCGATAAAATTATCAGTTTCAACCAGCCTCACAACCACCCCGAAAGTTTCAGTGAACACGCGTGTTGGGAGTTCTTACAAAAGCTAAAGTCGATCACGAAAGTCAGCTGCAGGGTACCATCGAAGGAGATCTACGAAGAAGTGGCCAAAATGTATGCGAAAAGATCGGTGGAATCGTATTAGAATTATCTTGTTGTAGTTACCCCGAGGGGGCGAAACTGAGGCCCTACGATTCGGTTAAAGCGTCCATATGGAAGTGGAAGAGTGGCAAACGTTAAGTTGTGTCCTTTATTTAAATATACGCTTGAATTATTCGTGTGATCGATTTTAATTTTCGGGTCCTCATCGTTGGTATTTTTTTTAATTGGTGTAGAACCCCCACTATATAACTACCACAAGCTTCTTATAAGTGACGCCCCGTGACTTTCTGAGTTGTTCCAGATAAAAGTACCAAGAAGCGCAAACCCGGCCGCTTTTGTCTAAACGGTTACTTTTACCACTCGAGTTACATAAGCAGAAACAAAAGGTAGAGTTAAGTCGGCTTAAGTCACCAGTGTAGCTCGTTTCTTGTAGATATTTGCGATGCGTCAAGTCGCGCCTTGTGGGCTGTAAATCCCGAGCCGTCTTACCCTTGGGGTCGCCCCTAACCAAAGCAATCATTCTAAAAGGGCACAATCACCCCCTCGACGAAAACGAGTCAATCGTGGAGGCTTTCATGAAACAACTGAAAGTGGCATGCATCGGAATCAACCTACCAGTGACACAGATCTACGACAACGTAGCCAAAATGTAGGTGACCTTCGTGCCAAAAATTCCACTTAAACCACTTCGTTCCAGATTTCCTGAAGGTGCAGCTCTTAAAAGTTTCGGCGCAGTGAGATCATCGATGATCCGCTGGAAAAGGCAGAAGGTTTCCGTTTTAACAAATTTCAAACTGTAATCATTCCAAAACTTCATTAAAATTGTCTTCAGTGGACGTGTTTTTGTTAAAACTCCTCACAACTCGCCATGATTGTAAACCCCACACTAATGTATTTTTGCTTTAACGCAGATTCTGTCGAGTGTAAAACTAAAAGGAAAAGAAATATGCCTCGGTATATAGTTGATGGTTTTGTCTTTCATGTGAATATCACAAAGGGGAAACCGCCAATGATGTAAGTACGGTTTGGGTTAAGCTTCTGGGTAGTTACTCTTCCGTAGATATCTTCGTTGTTTGGAGTATAAGCGTCTGGGGTGTCACGCGCGCGCAGTCATGCCTTCGGAAGGGTCGATCCAAGACATTAAGTTGAACAAACCCCACAATCACCCGCCGGATTTTGCCGCCGAAGAGAAAATAATCTTCATGAGGGAGCTGAAGGAAGTGATGACCAAGCAGCCGAACGTGGCACCGAGGACCGTCTATGCGACGTTGAGCGAAATGTAGGTTTAATTTTTCTCGTGGACACTTAAAGAGAGAGCAGTTGCAGGTACCCGAACGCGGCGAGAGAAACCCCATTCGACTCCATCAGACACAAGCTGAACCGGTGGAGGAGACAGTGCGACTAGTGTTAATGTATATATTATTTATTCAATAAAGATTATTCGCCCGATCCGGTTTTTATTCTCGAGTAGAGTTGCTCGTCTCCCGTGGTTGCGCTTTTCTGATTTAGTTTCTTGTTGTTTAGGTATTTTTAAGTTTATACGGAATCCGTCGACGGGGGATCTGCTCATTACTCAAGAGCAGGTGTACCGATTCGTCCAAATCGTGAAGGAGAAGAAGTTGTGGAAGTGTTACAAAGCGGCGTGCGCGGCAAAGTGTTACACTAATAACGGGAAGGTTGTCCTTCGCATGGGTCTCCACAACCACGATATCCCCAGGAGGTACATCAACGAAAAACGCAAAGAAGGCAAAGTGTTTAAACAGAAACTCACGTAACTCCACTTTTGTTTGTTTTATAGACAATAAACTGGCTTTAGGAGAGTTGCGTTTTCATGTTCCCTTATCATCCTGTCGTAACCACCGTTACAGAAGACTCACTTTCAGGTGTAATCTACTTTGATCGAGCGCAGAAGTACCCCAAACTCATAATGAACTATTACGACTACACCATCGAGCGAGCCACCACGGAACGAACCATCTGGTGCTGCGGCAAAAAGAAAAGTTTGAAGTGTAAAGCGCGCCTGATCACGTACGGGTCCACCGTGAAAGTGATGAACGAGACCCACTTGCACGAGCCCAAGGAGTACGCCACGAAGGAGTGCCTCACCGCGCACGTCGTCAATATTGTGAAGTGTTGGAGATGTAAATAAACAGTCGAGTCAGACCAGTGTTTCACTAACGGCGCAGTCACGCGGATTACCCCCCACTTTGCTCACCCAGCGCTTGACACCGCTTACCTTTTCTAGGCACCATTTATTTCGAAGCCGGAATTAAGCACCCAAAAATCATCATCGACCACTACGACTACAAAATAAAAACGCGCTTGACCAACAAAACCGACTGGGTGTGCTCGTCGAGCTATAAGACCAAGTGTCGGGCGAGGGTGACGACCACGGGGAAGGTGGCCATCGTCAAGGGCGAACACAACCACGAACCCAACCCCAGCAGGAAGCACGAAGGAATGTTGTTTCACACTGTAACGATTATTAAACAATAAAGACTTAAGATGAAGAGGCTTTTTTTATAGCGGTGTTGAGGTTGTGCGACCACTAGTTGTTGCTTTGTTGTAGGGGTGATTTATTTTGACAACACGAGGCGGAACAACCCGAAGATTATCGTGGAGAATTACGGGTACAGGCTTCAGATGAAGAAGAAGAACAGCACGGTGT